TGTAAATAACAAAAGGTACAACACAAATCGAAATATACACCTATCTGCTCTTTTTGGACACATTCAACCCCGTGTATTAACTGATGACATCTTAACTATGACTTAAATTCACTATGACAGGTATTAAGATACTCTTCATTATCCCCAGACACAGGTGTTGCCTTAACATCATCTGCTTGCTTGTATTTTGCTTTCATATTAATGGCTCATGATAGTAATAGCCTTGATACTCCAGGTGGCTTCATCAGCTTGATCCAATAGGACCACATTTGTGGTTGCTGTGAATCATTGTAAGCCTTCAATATCGTGCTGTGACATTCCCCATATCAGCTTCTTCAAGTGTGTGTTCCATAAAAGTTCTTTATGTAATTGTCTGTTCTTCCTGGTAACTGAGAAGCAATTGCAGCCCACCTGAGAATTTGTTAAATTTATTGAAAACTTCTAGTTATAAATGCACTCATAATAACAATATTCACCAAACAAGGGGAGCTACTTAATCTTGCAGCCATGTTAATATTTAAAAGCTTACCATAGAGGAGCTACTCTATTGGCATGCAAATCAAGCAGAGGACCGAATACTAAAATAAAAATTGACTGCAAAGATTTATGCAAATAACTTTGCAAGATTCTTATTCATTGCAGATATTATATTTGACACTATATTATTCGTCTCACACATTATAGCATACAATAAAGTTGAAATCATGACATAATGGATAGTACAACATCAACTTGAATTTTACCAAAACAAATGATGATGGGGTTGGGGAAATTCTATGGTGTGACACCATGTCAAGTTGGCAAGGGCATTTCTCCGTTAAATTTATGCCACGATCAATGTAGCGAGACAGTCCCTTCGGAAAAACCTTTCCACTTGTAGGGGAAACAGGCTTGATCTGCAAGATAAAAATAAACCATTTACAAATAACCAAGTAATATGCATAAAGGAGTTAGGCAGCATAATTCTATAGACCGACCTCATTAAGAAAGTATATAGCAAATTCATAAAGTAATTCCTGCGCATTTTCATTTCTAGTGCCAGCAAATACCAGTCCTGACATGGTTAAGAAGAACAAGTTTCAAGATAAAACAGAATCACAACCACTGAGTTGGTGCTAGCAAGGAAGTTAGAAAACATAGAAGAAACCTATGCTAATAAAACATCATGAATGACAATGGTAGGAATGGGCATTTAAATAATTTCAGTCGTATGACTACCTTTGATATAAAAAGAATAGTGGTAGAAGCACATAGTTAAATTCATCATAAAATGCATGCAAAGACCAAAGAGCATTTTACCAAGAGATATACAAGCTCCAGCTACTATATTAACATAGGCCTGCATAAATGCCTCAGCATCCAAATCGTCAATATCATAGGCATCACCTCCAAGGCGTTCTACATGAAATCTTACAATTTCAGGAATTTGAGACCAAACCCAATCTTTTGAGGGATGAACCCTATAAAAGAACATGCAACAAACATTGTTCAAAAGAGTGACAAACAGATCCAAGTAAATTGCTACGATAACTTGAAGAAACCAGCACAAACCTGCTCCACATTATTAAATTCCGAGCAATGACTCGAAGCATTATAAAGTCAGGCCTCACATATTGCAAATCAAAACATGTATTGGGAATTGAGAGCCTAGACACAATAGCCTCAGATTCTGTCTGTCAAAAGAATCAGTCCAAGGTCATAAAGATTCCATACAAAGTTAGACATGCCATATTCATGACTGACCTCATGGTAGTATACTTATATATATCGATTACAAGGAAGCAACAAATATGTAGACAATGATAATAATTGTCAGAACATCTAGAATATTTAGATATCATACAATATTATAATTATGTTTACAAAATGTGAATTTTAAGGAGATAAATTACGTCAAATTCTCCACATTGCCACACAAAAAAAGGCAGACAAGGACCCTCTTCCAATTCAGGTAGATGACCACAAGCCCCTAATATGGCATTTACACCCGAATGGTCAAAACCTTCTATCTTACTCAAGCAGCAACGACTTCTCCAAAGATCCTGCAATATGTTTGTCCCATTAATCAACATATACAACCCCACCACCAACCAAAAAACAAAATTTATGTTCTTTCAATCCATTTCCTAAACAAAAATAAATGCTTTCCCAAGCAACAAAAAATATGCGAGCTTATTTTAATCCATAGTTTAAGAGTTTAACTTACAGGGAGAGAGATAGCACAAGCCCTCAATATTCCTTTACCAGGAATTATCAGAGCATCTTCAGATAGGATATAATCAAGTGTAGTACGATCCTTCCTAAACCACAATTGAGTAAAAGTAACTCATATGAGCATGTTAAGAGCCAAAATAAAACAAGAGCATGTTAAAGCATAACAGATTTGACACTCAGAAATATACCAAAAACGTAGGTTCTGCCATGGAAGCATGCTATCATGTCCCAAATAGAAAGGTAAAAGGTTCTGCTATTAACAGATCAACCTACAGATAAAACACAAAAGCATGGATACTCAAAGCAAATCAAATATTCACCTTAGATGTTATTTACTACAGCATCACATACTGTTGAACATGATACTATGCAGTGAATACATTCTAAGTACAAATAATATTAAAAAAAATAGGAAAGGTTTGTTATTAGGAAGAAACACATTCAAATACTGTTTATATGCAATAATTAGATAAAGCATTTGTAAATTAAATCAATGCATATATTATTATTTTAAAAAGGCAAATAAAGACTCTACGAGTTCAATACAAGTAATAAAGTTCCATTAAAGAAATATAGGTAACAAAGTAAAACTATATTTGCTTAACTAATCTGTTCAATTCTATAATTTCCAGGCCTCTCCATTCATGTGCAAAGTCATTTACATTTTCCATTTATGCTTCATGGGCATAAGCAAAATGATCTATGCCACTATGGTGTAGGTTTCTAATAGAACTTAAATTCATATATCATTCAAAGTAAAGCCACACCAAACAAGTGGAAATGGATGACATAAATCATGAAAACCCCTAACCCTAAACCCACACAAAACAGGGGAAATGGATGACATAAATAATGATACCCATAACGGTTTAGAACAAACAATGATACCCATAACGCTTTAGAACAAACACCGATGACCATACCTCTTGTTAAATCGAACACTCAGGTCTACAACAAGTCCGGTGCAATGTAGATCAACCTCCGCCTTCTTTGTAAGCGTTCAGTGTGAGTGTTTGGAACAAGCTGAGTGGTGCCCCTTGTGATGGTTGCTCACCGGAAAGCTCGAAACATCAATTCCAAATACAAAGGTTTGTCCTTTTTTTTACAATGCCATAGAGACGTTGCCAACACACACGTTTATGTCCGTTGGAAAATGATTAGGGGTAAAGGGTTTCAGCCTTTTTTAAAATCAAAGGTTATTTTAGTAAAAGCATAATTTTTTCCCATCTATATTTTATCAAAAGCCAAACATAGACTTTACAAAAGTTACCTAATTTTCTCAGTAAATTTTTTTCCTACCAAACAACTTTTTTTTACATTTTCCTATCTATCTCATTTTATCTCATTTTCTTACCATTTCCCTATCAATTTTATTTTTCTAGTATTCAAAAAATTTCTCCTCAAGTGGTATTGCTGTCAAAACTGGAGAAATGAAAAAAGTGGATGAAGAGTGTTACAAGTATACCCCTCTTCTTACCAATCTTCTTACTCGAAATGGTTCAAAATTTTATTAAAAGGTTACTTTCGTAAATTCAATCTATTTTCCTATCAAAATTTTATTTTCAACCAAACATACACTCAGCATATTTAACCCAATTTTCCCATTAATATTTTGCTAAACCAAACAACTTTTTTTATATTTTCCTACCAAACTTACTTTCCTACTTACTTCCTTGTATTTAAATTTTCCTAGTAAAAAATTTTTTCTCCTCAACCAAACATAGATTACTCCCTAGACAAATAGATGTGGTGTTTTTAGATGTCTATGTTTGGTATTAGGTTTTCAAAAATTTAGGTAGCAAAATGATTTGCCTAGGAATTACTTTTTGTGTGTAAAAAATACTGTGGAATAATACCACGTTCTAGGTGGTATTTGCTTGTTTACCAGACAAATTGAAAAAGGACCATGAAGCAAGAGACCAAAATGACCTTTGTTAAGGGCAACCTTTTCCATCTTCTCGAAAGATGGTCCAAGGCATTGACCTTTGTTATGGTAATTTAAGTGTTGTTAGGATAATTTAACTCTATTTTTCAATCAATATTTTTTCTTCAACCAAATATAGATTTAGAAAATTTAAACCAATTTTCTTGATAATTTTTCGGCCTTCCAAATAACTTTTTTTTCACTTTTCTACCAAACTCATTTTTTTATCACTTCCCTAGTAATTATATTTCTCTGGTACAAAAATATTTTTCCTCTATCAATCCAATTTTTCTAATATAATATGGTATGAATTAAAGGCAAGAGAATTGGGCTGATCATCACCATCATGGCCAAAGCCCAAACTGGGATCGCGGGCCGAAACATGCTTCCCAAAAGCGAAATTCGAATTTCTATAGAGGGCGCGAAATTTGAAGTAAATAATTCGAATTGGAGTCACGAAGATGGGGTGTGTCTGTGTCAAATGTCTGACGAAAATCAATAAGGACAAGAAAACAATATATTATCAAAGATTTTGAATTTTTTTCTCTCTCATCTCATTCTTTCAAATTTTCTGGTAACTAGAATAACAAAAAACAAAAACAAACACGAGCCTCTCTTCTCTATTTGCGTGCATGGGTCCTGAACCCGAGGTGAACTTTGAGATTCTCTTTTTCTCTCTCTCTCTCTCTCTCTCCGTTTTCAAATTTCATTCATTTTAAATCGATTGATTATTGAAATAAATTTGAAATGACAATGGAATTTCCTTTTCCACCACATTCCTTCCAGTGGTTTAGAAAACGTGAGAGGGTGAGATGGTGATGTAGGGATAGGGATCGGTTCGAGATCAAATTAAAGAGTGAAGATGAAGAAGTCACAAGGGCAAGGTAAAGCGATTTTGGAGCTAAAACAGAGAACAGTTGTTGCGTTGAACAAGCTTGGCGATCGCGATACTCAACAAATAGGGATGGATGAGCTGGAGAGGACCGTGCAGGGTTTAAGCCCCGAAGTGATTCCAGCATTTGTGTGTTGCATCTTAGACACTGATTCGAACCAGAAAACAGCCATCAGAAAAGAGTGTATCAGACTCATGGGCACATTGGCTAGGTTTTACGAGGGTCTCATCGTTCCTTATCTTCCAAAGATGGTTGCCAGCATTGTTAAGCGCCTCAGGGATTCCGATTCTGTCGTCAGGGATGTATGCGTCGACACAGTTGGTGTTCTCGCCTCTACATTGGTTAATCAATATCAAATTAACAAGGTCTTTCTTGTATTAGTAAAGCCTATTTTTGAGGCTCTTGGGGAACAAAATAAGCACGTTCAGTCCGGTTCTGCTTTTTGCCTCTCTAGGATCATTGACAATACACATGATCCTCCCCTTTCCCTTTTGCACAAGATGTTGACTAGGACTATCAAGTTGCTTAAAAATCCACATTTTATGGCTAAACCAGCTCTTGTTGAGTTGAACAAGAGCATTATCCAGGTTTGTTTTTTTTTTTTTTTATTGATAATATGAACTTTGACAATGACAGGTATATTATAGGGCTAGGAAGTAGGAACACACACAACAACATCTCTCACTCATAAGTGCTTTTCTCATTTTATTTATCAGGCTGGAGGAGCTCCATCAGAAAATATTCTGTCCACTGCTATTGCTAGCATCCAAGAGGCTCTCAAAGATAGTGACTGGACAACACGCAAAGCAGCTTCCGTAGCACTGGGAGAAATTGGTTTCAGTGGTGCTTCTTTCTTGGGATGTTTAAGGGCTTCTTGTATTCATTCTCTTGAGTCATGTCGATTTGACAAGGTATTTTTAGTTTTTTATTTTACATTTATGAAATGCATGTTTCTTTCTTTTGTATTTATTAGATGATTCTTGTTATTGATTATAGGTGAAACCAGTCAGAGATGCTGTTTTGCAAGCGCTCAAGAATTGGAGAATTCTTCCAGGCCCCAATACTCCCGAGCCTTCTGAAACAGGATCCTCCTTAAAAGGTTCATTAATGCAATCTCTCAGTTTTCTTTGACTTTTAATATCAATATCGCATCAGATAAAAATACTTGATATGTTATGACTAAGTATAGCAGGCCATTCTACTTCTTCGCACAATGCAATAAGGGATGTGCATTGGTCGAACCGAATCAAATTTTTTGAAAAATCGAACCGAATTTGTTTTTGTATGATTCGGTTCAGTTTGGAACCGGTTCGGGTCGATCCTATTTTGAAAAGAAAAGAAAATTAAAAATTAAAATAAAAATCAATTTGGTTCGGTTTGAAAACGGTTCGGTTCGGTTCGGAAACGGTTCGATTCGGTTCTTAAATTGGTTCTAAAACCCGGTTTGGTTCATGAACTGGTTCTTTAAAAACCGATTCAGTACATGAACTGATTTTTAAAAACTGATTATTTTAAGGGCAATTTGATTCGGTTCACGGTTCATTTCAGTTTTTTTGTTATTTTGCCTGAAATATAGACTTTGCCTGCCTCAACTCGTTTACAATTGTTCAGTTACTGGATTCTCAGTGGAAATTATTGTCCGAAAAATGTAATGGCAGAATACATGACCTTTAAAAAGACACAAGCTACAAAACAATTGTCTAATCGAACCGTTAGGATAGTAGCAACAATCAATAGTATTTATTAATAAGACATTCTCAAATCCGTTATCTGGAATAAAATATCCATGGCAGTATTACGAGTTCCAATCAGGTAGTGAGTGATGCACCCTTCTGATTGCCTTCCTTTTATTCTTTGGCATGCTTTTGATTTCTTCTTGTTTATGGTGTCTTCTACTTGTGCTTTCTACAGAAAATATCTGCAGAGGTGACACTGCTGATCTTAGTAGTACTACTACTGAATCTCGACAGAGGGATGTTAAGCTCCAAAAAGATAATATTAAATCAACTATGGGAAGGATTCCTTTGTCTGTTAGAAAAGCATGTCAAAATTATGTCAGAAATCCTCACCATCTCAAACCAGATGACTGGCATGTTGAAATTGCAGTAGCCAGAACACATTCTGTAGTGGGATTCCAGAATGAAGAATCTGAAAGTAGTTCTGTCACTAAGCAATTAGAAACAATGAGTGCTGATGTTACTAGCATGCAGGATGTTGGTTATGAATATGTGCCAATGGATGACAAGCAGGAATGCTCTTCTGTCTCTAATCTTACCACTGATAACTTTGCGACCAAGTTTCTAACTGCTTCTAATGACTGCTTTATAAATAGTGGATTACGGAAGCCAATTGCAAGAAGCCAACAGTTTAGTGAAGAAATAAGTTGTAATGAACAAATGTACTCCACAAAGATGCAGCATCCTACTAGAAGTTCTGATTCTACGGTCACAGAGCCAAGTCCCCAAACTACACATGAATGTTGTGCGCAAATGGCAAATGAAATGATTTGTATTCAGAATCAACTTTCAGATATTGAAATCAAACAGGCAAACATGATGCATCAGTTACAGGTATTATACATACTAACATATATGCACGTGTGATTCTAAGTTTCTGAACTCTGGTGCTGCTAGTCACTTTCCTTCGTGCAGTGGTTTCTTGAACATAGGCTTCCTTGTTTTCTTTTTTAACAGCATGACAACACTTGAAGTACAATCAGTAGGAGTTGTTGGTTTTGTATGATTCTCTCCCTCACCTAGTAAAAACAAAATCAATGAAGTCAACATCTATGTGTTTTATCACGAGGAAGTAAAGTACAATATGAATTATGTAACCTTTTGCACACATGCAATCACAATATGGACTCGACTCACTCGAGTGTTTCTTGTTATGCATCACATGTATATGGTATAGCTTTTACTTATATACTGCCAAATCTTTTTCAGATGTTTACAACCGGTATAATGGATGCCCTCTCTACAATCCAATCAAGAATGGTAGGCTTAGAGAACGTACTTGATAGGTTAACTCAAGAATCATTGCAAGGAGGAAGAAATTCGTATTCAGAAAACTCCAAATTTGTGAGGCAGAGCCAAAATGTGGCTTCTCCCAGGTTCTCCATATGCACTCCAAGGCCATCTGTAGAAATTAGTAATAAGGAATCGGGCTTGTCAGTTAAAAATTCTGGAAGTTGGGAGAAAAAAACATTTTCTAGGAGCCAACCTCAGAATCATGCTGGATATAGTGCGGATATGTGTAAAAGTTACAAGGTAAAGACTGGCAGAAAATTTACAGAGGACATTTTGAACAGCTCTAAGAAGGATACACGGAGCATGATTTCTGCTCGAGAGAGAAAGGAAGATGGAACCTTTTCCTCTGCTACTAGAGTCAATGCCAGAAACGGTTGTTCTGAGAGTAATACCAACTACTGGAAATGTGTAAAACGCCTTGTATGTGAAGGGGATCTAAACTCTGCTTATATGGAAGCTTTGCGTTCCAGGGATGAACTTATTCTTGTTGAGCTTCTGAATAAAACTGGTCCAGTTATAGAAAGTTTATCAGTGAAGACTGTCAATGTTCTTCTTAGCTCTTTAGCATCGTATCTTCTGGAAGGGAAGTTTTTTAATGCTACAATCCCCTGGTTGCAGCAGGCAAGTTCACTTATTCTTACTAATTATAGTACAGCAATCTATTCATTAGCATTTTTGAATTCTACATCCATTTCATTTTACTTAAGTAGCTTGCTTGGAATGAATGAAATGTACGTAAGAGTCTTTTAGCTAATAATTATAGAAACAATAAAGCATAAAAAATTGTGGCTTCATGTCATCCCTTCAATTGAATTCCTACCTTTATAAACCCGAAGTCCAGAATCATGAAATGAAGATGCTAAAAATTGACTCTTATTCTGAATTGATAACTGTAACAGTAACAGATTAACAGTATGGAATGTCATTTCGGATTACCTTTAAACAGTTTTAGAATTTTTACAGATCATAATAATCTTTGGATGGTTAATTTTGCTTATATGCCGTGTGAAAAATATGGTTCGGTAAAACTTTAACATGATAGCTAAACTAGCCTGGGCTATTGATGACAAGGCTATGTAGGATATGTTCGTAGGTAGGAAAATTTTACAGTACTAGAAAAAATTAAGTGCTCATAATTTCATGATATTAGTAATTATTGATTATTATTGTATATTAGTTCTAAATGTCAGATAAAAAACATCTTGGATGGTAGGGACCATGCTAAAAAGAAGAAAAAGGAAAATATTAGCATTTTTCTTTTCTCAATGCCATAGTTTTATCAGGCTGATTGTTGAGAACATAGCATCTTCTCCAGAAGGAAAATGATCATGAATCACAGACAGGTAGCCTTTTCAGCTCTTGTCCATTTAGAAGCTTATAACTGATGCCCTACACTGAAACATAGGTGTAAAACTCGGACCAGAAAATAACAGGCCCAGGTCCCCTGGTTGAACGTGGTTACTGCTTGTTCAAAGTAAAAGCAGGGGAATCGGGTATAACGGCAAAAACGGCTGGTCCTTTTTTTGTGTGTGTGTGTGTATTGTTTTTTCTAGCCAGATTAGTGGTCAAACTAGTGAACCAAGCCCTCTGTTTGGTTTGACTCCTCTCTGGGTTTTACAGGGGTAATAGAACCAAATAGTAAGGAATAATTGAACCAATCTGGACAGAAATAAATTCTATTTCCCTATGTTAAGGAATTCACACTTAACAATAGCAAGCTAATATTCAGGCACTTGTCTTCGTAGTTATCAAATGCGGACCGTGGCATGTCGCGGCCAACCCCCCCAAAATGCTATAGCATTATAGTGGGTTGTGGTTGCAGAAATAACGGAATAAATATATGATAGAAATAATGACAAAGAAACATTTTTTAAAAGCAGAGATAGCAGAAGTGACAGAGAGAGACACATATAAACTAAAAACCCTTAAATTTTTTCTGTTACACATTTAAATTTAGGACAAAATTGACATTTTGTCTTATGATAGTAATATGGTCGCAAATGCGATCGCAATGGCCGCTATTGCGTTCTGGTGCAGCGCGACGTGGTTTCTTGCGGCGAGGCACCGCAACGCCCATACGGCGCGGCTTGTGGCACTATTGCGGCGCAATTAGCTACTATGCTCGTCTTTGAATTTATATGTCGTTATCTACAAATTAGTACCAAATAACATTGGGGAAAATATCCGATCCTTTATGGTAGTCTTTGTTATTTTAGGTTGCTGAAATGAGTACTATCCATGGACCAAATTGCATTGCTCTCTCTATTGAAGCCAAGGAACAGCTTTTATCTGCAGTTCAGGAGGCTGCGAACCTGAATATTTTCAGTCATGCGGAAAGAAGGTGTGCTTCTGAATTAGCAATGAAATTACATCATATATGGGCTAATATTACTGAAAGTTTATAATATTTTTGTGTTGGAAGTTAAATCTCGATCCTGGTTGAAATCAAAAAGCAAGTTCTAGTTGTATGTATTTTGTTACTAGAGTGAACTTTGGGTTTAGTGAATAATTCATTGCTAGTTAGTTCTGGAATGAAATAATTTGTGATGTTTTCTTTTGCGGAATGGTAGCGGTGTACATTGGAAAGATGTTATCTTGTGCTATGTATTGCATCTTTGAGAATGGATGTCACGATCTTGATTGTAATGTACTACATTTGTGTTATATATTTTTTAATGCTTATTGTAGATTTAGCATTATTCACATTTATGTTATATATTTTTAATGCTTATTGTAGATTTAGCATTATTCAATCATAAATTATATTTTTCATTCATACGGAATTTAGAAATTTATGTTCAAACTTTTCAAACATTTAATAATATAACTTTTGTAACGCCCCGTTGTACACCCGGAAATGTTAACATTACCTATGATATTAAGCGTAGTTACAATCAGACTGATTCAATTAAAACTACGGATAAATTTTTTCTTTTAAACATTGTTCACTTACTTTTTAAAACAAATCGTATTTAATATAACCAAGTCAGTAATTGTAACCATGTATCATTCTCTAAACTGAGACCACTATACTTAACCATTAACTCTAATCTTTTCATTATGATAAACTAGACGTCTAGGGTTTTCGAAAAAATATTACAATAATCATTTGGTTAAGTATAGCTGAAGTTATTAAACTTGCAAGGAAGCTGACGAAATCAAATTTTCGAAATTGTAGCATCAACTTCAATCCTAAGCTGGTATTAATATATTCATCCAATGGTTCTAATATTTTACAAGGTTATAGCCTTATATGTTAGCTTCACATAGGTTCAAACCTCACTCAATTTGGAGTTCTGTAGCTTAAGTTATGTTAATTTTACTAAACTACGTTTGTGCTAAAAACAGGCAGTACGCTTGAGTGCACTGGAGTTCGCTGAGAGCGCTTGAGTGCGCCTTGACAGGTTTCGACCACCAAGAGCGCTGAAGCGCCCTCTAGAGCGCTCCGACAGATAAAAACAAGTTCAATCTGCATAATGGCACAAAACATGATGGAGAATTGGGTGAATTAGGTACCTAAGACTAGGGATGGCCAACAATGATCCAACATATATTGTGGCACTCACATCCCATCATATTCATCAATTTATCATTCAACTCAAAATGAGAAAACATGCTTCGAACTCAATCAATGTTACAATGAATCATTTACAACAATATTCTTCAAGATAATTACATGCCAAAGGACTTAGCTACAAAAAGGACATGATCAAAGCTACTAATCATATAAAACAAGGCATTCACCATCACAATGATCATGCACTAAGTCCTTCAAAATACATCATATGTCCTCAAAATATATGTATACATGTGGCAATGTAAATGACATGTACATCTATAATCCTAGATGAGATGCAATCAAAAATGACCGGCAACCAACATATGACATATAGCCCAAATATGACCACCTGCCACCAGAGGCTCCTGCAGCATCTGTACTTGAAAGGGGGTCCTCACAACACAGGGCGAGATATACGAATATATCTCAGTATACCAGGGGTCCTTGGAGCATCTCTCCACCCTATAGTTCACTCACAGTATAATAGCAATAACAATAAATAATGCAATAAATACATATCCATACAGTGTATAAAACATCTCCAAGAGACATCCCTCGAGCTCTCATGTCGTTCTAAGGATACTTAGATGCAAATAGTCTTATTGGCCAGCTAAACTACCAAGTGTGAATTACGCATCGTCATGTAAGATACATAACATAGGGAAACACCGTCCTACGCCACACCTAGTGCATACACATACATATAACAAAGCATTAAACTACTTTATTGCAATTACATACACTATCAACAACCATTACCCAATCAAGGCTTGGTGGAACAATAAAAAAATCAATTCCCAAGGTCCAAAGGCTTACCTCAATGCGCTTTTAAGCTTAACCTTTGTTCACCACCAACGAGTTATCAACCCAGTGTTTTAAAACTCGGCTCGGACCGGCCGGGTCGACTCGGTGACCCGGTGGGTTCCCCGGTCCGAGCGGGTAGTTAGACCGATTATGCAGTCAGCCCGGATTGGACCGGTTGACCCAGTCGAAACCCGGCGACCCGGTTGACTCGGGTTAAACCGGTTTTTCCTTTTCTTTTTCTTTTTTGGTAAAATTTTTTTTGTTGATAAGAACTCTTGAATTAAATCATATTCATATTTTATGATGAATATGAATAAAAGTAAGGTGAAAATAATAAGGTATTTTAGATTAGTGTAGTTCATTTATATAATTTAGTTGCATCTTATAATGATTTCATGAAGTTAAGTGGTGATAAACACTGATGGTCTCATTATCTCATCTCAACGGTCTAGAGCTAGAAGCTTAGAAGTATATAATATTTGCTATCATTGAAAACTAATTTAATTTTGAAGTTCATAAATAGTTTTCTTTTGTGAATTTTTATTAATATAAGTAATATTTTTATATTTTTAAAATGTGAACAGTAAAACCGGTTGAACCTGGTTCAACCCGGTTGAACCAGTGACCCAGTACCTCGACTGGTTCGATAACCGGTTCGAGTTTTAAAACACTGTATCAACCAATATCATGATAAAAGATAGGGTTTTATTAATCTCATGTCAAAGGAGATATTTATCTCATGTCATAGAGACAAACTAGTGGGCTCCACCACTTGAAAATAAAAATAAAAATGACACAATTATTAAAAAATATGTAGAAGAAAAAACTTATGTCATGTGACATCAGAATAATTTTTCCCTAAAAAATATTATAACATCTGTTAGTGCCTTGCATTGAAAGTTTCATTGATTGTATCTGTTCATTTCTTGTTTAGGTTGGATTTTATGTTTTTTGTATCATGATTCTTAATCATTGCTAATATGGAATTAAGGTACATGTATTGATTGTATTCTGCCATTTGCCAGTTTATGTTGCAGAAAATCTTGTACTTTTAATGGAAACCAAATTCTTGGATTTGAATTTTGAACATTTTTTCTGTTGTCTCATTTACATGTGTCCTATGTCTCATTTTTTCTATAACTATCTACCTTTTATTACTTTATGTGTACTTTATTTTTATTTTAGATTACGAGGATATTCAGCCTGTATCTAACTTTTATAAGTGTTATTTTTAGAAGAAAAATATATTTATAATCTATTTTTATTTACGACCTTGTATAATTATACTTTAACTGTTAGTTTTTATCAATCAAATATTATTATTTCTTGTGAATTAATAATTAATAAATAAATTTAATATGTAAAAATAATAACTATTGATTAGCGAAAATTAATGGTTAAAATATGATCGTAAGAAATTGTAAACAAAAAATAAGTTGTAAGTATAATCTTCTGCTTATTTTTATTACTCTGCAACATTTAATATAAAATCTATAATTTTGAAAGATATTCGCTTCTTAGGATTGTTGCCTGTCTTGTAGCGAATATCTTTGCCGTATAACAATGGCTAAGGAAACCAGCACATCAATATTGAAAATTGGATCAGTGTTAAGAAAAAAGCAGTCAAAGTAATAAATAAACTTTGAAGACAAACACTTGGATGTAGGCTGAGATATGCAATCCAATGACGACTGGGTGAATTTACAATACCCTCGACCATCAACTCCGCCATTCATCCCTATCTGCAAAGGATCTTTGGGATGATCTAATAATTATACTAAAGCATAAATACTCTGGCAAATGTGTCGCTAATAGCGTGTTATTTTTTATGAAAGAATATAATTTTTTTAATCACTTTAAGAGTTAACTTTGATATAAAAAATGAAAATTGGAAGAAATTAATTTTAACAGTATCATTAGTTGAGGTTTGAAGAGAAAAAAATATTAACTTAAAAAGTAAAGTAGTTTTTTTAAAAATATAATAAGTTGAGATTCTGATTTAGAATGGAAAATAATATTTCAATGTGAAAATATAAATTTGAATTTTTCAAAAAGAAACAAGGGTTAATTTACGCGTCTTAAAGAAGAAGGAAATATACTAGAAGATTATTTTTTAAAAAGAGATGACTGAATTGAATTAAATAATAGTGAAATTACGTTTCTTAAAGAAGACGATAATATAATAGGAGTTTGTCTATTTTTAAAAAGTTAAGACCAATTTATTATATAAGGATAGATCAATTTCCAATTTTAGGGAATTAATGTAGGGAATTATACGACATTTATAATGTAGGGAATTATAATGTAGGGAATTAATCAATTTCCAATTTTATCGTCTTAGATCAAACTGAAGAGATAAATGCCATTTGCTTATACGACATTTATTTTACATGTTGCAGGCAAAAATATAATTCATATAAATGGAAATTTAATTAAACAGACATAAGTTGATGTGTACAACCAAGCACTTATTATATAATTACTTCGATGGAAATCCAGTCGAGGGGTTTTATGCGCACAAGACTCGACGACGATACTCTCCGAGAGCCCATATGGGAAAGATGTTTCTATAGGATGAGTAGTTCAGGGTACAGTTCCTCATAAATACTCCTGTTATCTCCTGTAGTTGTTTTTGTTCGTAATGAATAATAAGATACACATGCATATAATATGATTGCTGAGTGCTAATTAAATCTGTGGTTGAATTGAATTACCTGCTGTGGGAAGTCTCCATCTTCCATTTGTGAATTGATTAGTAACTTTATTCCACGGTGTATGGGTGTAGGATCTATCTCAGCCTTTTTTCAGCAAAACATTCATAATTAGCACAATAACACACTCTACATCTATACTAAGAATTTTCGTTCTTCCATTTTAATTCACAACTATCTCATACTTTTCTTATTGGTATATGAATTATATGATATTTTACTCCTACTTCCATTCATATCCCAAAAATGAAGTGATAAGTTAAATAAAGGCTCTCAAGATCAACTATCTCAAAAATATATAAGTTGTAACTAACAAAATTTATTTCTCTGACAAGGGCTACATTTCTCCTCACTCCACCTTGAGGGTTTTTGACTTAACAAATGCGAATTTCAAAAAAATCCACTTGTTTAGTTTGTTGACCAAATATTTTATCAGACAAATGCATGAAGACGCATTTCAGGTGGCTACGCGTTTAGTCGCGCACCTGACACATGCACGTTTCTAACAAATCTGAACACATCTGTATCAGGTACGTGTCTAAACATGTCTGTACCAATAGCACGTTTTTGACAAGTTTGAACACGTCTGTACCAGGTGCGCGTTTCTAACAAGTCTGAACACGTCTGTACCTGGTGCACGTCTGAACATATCTGTACCAGGTGCACGTTTTTGACAAGTTTGACCAGCACAATACCAAGATGCGTCATGTTCAGGCATGCATTCCATGGCATAGTCGCGTCACAGTCAGAAACACGCATGTGTCTGGTGCGCAACTAAACGCGTAGCCACCTGAAACGCGTCTTCATGCATTAATCCGGTAAAACATTTGAACTAAAGAGGTGAGTTTTTTTTAATTTCACATTTCTTTGGTCAAAAACCCCCCACCTTGACAATATGTCTTCCATTAGCTAGAAGACCATTGTACTTTGCAGGGATTTGCCAAATCAGTAGCTTAAAACTTACAATACACAAAAGTACCTGCTAAAAACAATTAGTTTTATTTACTAACCTGCCCTGCACCAATAAGGGACAACAAAGCCCATGAACTTTGAACTAAGTTTGCACGGTTGCCTTCTATGTTTGTGTACACCTATTTGACAAGGAAAGCATGTGCATGTATAGGAATTCTTTAATTAGTTTATTTATCTTCATAGTCTGGTGCACTATTTCAAAGCAAAATAAATGTAATATATATATCTATACCTTGTTTTGGCTTGACAAGTAACTCTCTCCCCACCCACCATTTGGAAGCTGCTTTGACAACAAAAATTTACAAGCTTTGCGCAATGAAGGACTGTTTTGGTAATTCTTTCCACAGGCTTTTAGTCCCTCCACAGCAAACCAGGTACCATAGGTATAGCAGATCCCCCAACAACCGTACCTGTACAGGTGCTTATTTATAGTAAATTATGAACCTTGTCCTCGCTGGCGCGGAGCCAGGCTCCAATTTGAGTTCGAGTCAAAAAATTATGTGTATTTATTTTTTTTTAATTTTAGTAAGTTCATATTATAATATATTTAAATTATATTAAATAAAGAGCACCTCTGAGCAGTTAACACTAAGAAGAATTATAATTTTATTAGGGCCATGAGCCGTTTACAATTTTTTTTTGCAGTTACATTAATGTAGGACCGGTCGTACACTGTGTGATTAATGTAGGACCGGTCCTACATAGTGTAGTTTGTAAGAGTTTGTAAACAAAAAAGTTTGTAAATATAACCTGCCTCATTTTATTAATATTTTTTAATTTTACTATATATATATATATTTTATATAAATGAAAATTGAACACATAATCTAATACTACTTACCTAAATCTTTTATTAAAAATATTTTAAGTTTCAAATAGGGTCAAATTACAATTTTAACCTGATCAAATTATAATTAATTATATAATTATATATAATAAATATAATTTGTTAAAATTTAGTCCGAGCTAGGCCACACGTAGGCAACACAACACATGTCTCCGCCAGTGCTTGTCCTACTTTTTTTTTTGTAGCACAAATTAACCTTGTCTTTTATTGAACCAAATATAGGTACGACAAGTTAAATAAAAGTCTGTTTAACACATTAAAACTTAGACAGTATTCGTAACGATTTTAAATTTTAATGGTAAAAGCTAGAACCTAGAACTGTACAGTAGAATAGGGTGTAGTGCAAATAGCATATATATAGTGATTAGCAGAAGAGAAAGAAACAAAATATAGAGTACCACGAGCCATCAGGATTTTGTGTGTTTTCAATGTAACGGATTGCTCTGGAAATGCAGATATCTATTTCGCTTCTTCTGTGCATTGGGTATAGCTTTCTGAAGAGAGCCAGGCCTTGCATTGCGGATCCAGTGCACTCCACGTACCTATTTCACACAACATGGAACACAAATAACTGCAAGAATAGGCCAATCTAGTACATCAACATATATATGATTATAAGCGTAATCTTACTCCGTCTCAATGAGAGTGTCTTCAAAGAATTCAGTTGGATTGAATTTCTGCAGCAGAGATAAAAGTTATCGCTGAGTTAAGACAAAATCCTTAATCTTTTTTGTTTGAGGGATTAGAATGCCCCTATTAATTTGTTACCTCTAACCATCTGTGGGCTCTTTGAGGCTCCCAAGCAGGGAAACCACCGTTACTGCTCTGTAGTTGAACATCAACATGTGTGAGTGTTGCATCTAATTACATAATATTCAAAGTTGGGGAATGATTTATTTACAAACTTTTTTTACAAATTACACTAAGTATGACCGGTCATACACTCTTGATTGAAGTATGACCGATCATACTTAGTGTATTTTGTAAGAGTTTGTAAATAAATTTTTTGTAAATATAACCTTCTCCTTCAAAGTTATATATAGAAACGACACTACGGTTCTAATTAGAAAACCCATACTTGTAGAGAGAGGATGACATTAACCGCATCATAGAATCGCTCTGTTTCCATTTTTTCCCCAACTAGATCACTTGGCAATTCCGACAATAAGAGTGAAGCCTATACACAAATTTAGTAGCTGAATGTCAAAGTCTAGTCCGTATTCAAAACCTAACACAACATTGTTTTCTTATTGTTCAAAACTTATTTATCAATTCAATGTTGTTTATAATTAAATAAAGGCAAATGTAGTTATGCTATTGGTCATTGTAGAAGAAAATTTTTGTAGCTAACACATAGAAAATCAATATATGCATATGGATACTTTTTTTTTTTTTTTTTTTTTAAATGCTAAGATCCGCATGCTGATCTAGTGTAAATGTAATTGTTACAAAATTTCTCATATGCAGCAGCAACAGTAAAAGTAACGAACCCTTAAATAAAATATTAATGTGATGTTTTCAAGAGCCAAATAAAAACATTCATTTGGGTGAATTACCTTTAGTCCTTCAGCGGTGCAGTCAGAGACTTGCCAACCGTGATCATGCATTGAGAATGTCCATGATCCTTTGCAAATGTGTCTGTACATTGCATTGAAGTCACCGGATGGGTTTTCACGGACCTTAAAACATGGCAATATTAAAGTCTCTTTCAGCAATCATTTTGATCTTTCAAGTCAAAGAATATTTATTAAGTTACAACCTGCGAAGCCTTCACGAAGTAGTGTGCTTTCTCGAGTGTAGGTCCGTATTCTTCGTTCAGATTACAACTAAGTATAGCTTGTATGGCAAATGCAGCATCCCACATCTGACACCCAAAACTCTGCATTAAAATCAATTAACAAAATACCAGTCAGTAACATTCTACAGATAAGTATACCTAATTTACGTGCAATGTTGTTAAAATCAAACCCCACAGTGAATCAATAGCTAATTGATTAGCTCAATCATTTAAAGTGATTGGTTAAACCGGATAATGTTATAAAAATAATTTATATTTTTTATAATGCTTTAATATTTCTTTATCTATATTCATTTTCAAAAAGATGTTATTTTAGATTGAAAGATTAAAAAATTATAATAAAAAAGACTATTATAATTCTGAAATAAATTATAATTACAAAAATACCTTTATTTCCGTCTCAAAACGATATCATTTTAGACTTAATGTAAATAACTTATCTACATTGATTACAGAAAAAAAACAAACCCTTTTTATAATATAAAATATATCAAAATGTTTAAAAAATATGTAAATATATTGATTTTTTCAAAGTAATATATCAATCATCAATTGATTCTTCCACTGTGTTTTGATTAGCTTTACTTGAATCAAAGTGGTATGATTGTCAATTCAAGTATAAGACTAAATAATAGCTATTAAGTATCCAATTCACAGGTAGATCAGTCAAACCAACTGATTCATTCCTATTATAACAATAGTGTTTACGTTCACTAAATTAAGAAAGTGTTGACAAATCGTTAGGACTTTATAAATAAATTCTCTGTCTCATAATTAGTGGCGTAGCCACTTGGCTCCTATCCAGTGACTTGGTATCAGCTGATTTTCAAAAATATTATGTATATATATATATATATATATATATTAAATTATGATATAGTCTTGGTATTGATTAGGTTTTTAAAAATAATATAACATTGGTATTAGCTGAATTTTACTAATTAAGTTTTTTGGCACTGACTGAATCTTTTCCCTGGCTCCGCCACCGCTTATAATGTACATTAATGATAAACTAATACTTTATTTATTTAGTGCATCCAATTTGGCGAAGTAATAAAGACATAAATAGTATTAATAGACTACAACTTCAATTTTAACTATTTAAGAAAGGACTTTATAAAAAAAAGGTTTAATCATAGGAAGGTGATAATATACCCTTCCTCTAAATCAATGTCATTTATTAACTAACGTTGAACAACTAATTTAATGTTATTTACAAATAAAAGACCAATATATTACATAATTAAATGTTCGTAGACTCATTGGCAATGCTAACCTGGATTTTCAAGCCATCTTCATCGAGCCAGAAGTAATCAGGGATTCGGGCTAAATGAAGTTTGTATGCCTCTGAGTTAGGATCTTCAACCCATCGCGCAATCAAACATAACACCTGCCATTTCCATTCAGTAATATTCACAAATTGGGTTTATCTATGGTTCAACATATAATTAATTAAATACTATATTATATAATGGTAATGGATGTTTGTTTACCTTCTCTACGCTTCCAATGCAAAGATACCTACTGTTCTCATCCTCGTAACGTACATGATTAATTGCAATTTCTAATGCCTTCTCTCTGAGCATGGTAAAGGGCCAGCAATTCAGAAAACGCTCTCCCACGTGATAAAGAAATCCCCATAACATATCTTGGATCAGAGGATGAGGATAATAGAGATCCTCCTGCAATTTGGAATTTCATATATACATCAAAATATACATTTCGATCCTTTCATGTTAATTATTAACATAATCTCTTGTTACCAGAAAAGATACAAGACTCACTCAATGTTATTTGTGTAAAATTCATTAGCTTTTTTTTAATATATTTTTTTCTTATAACATAATATTGTGACGTTAGTGAGTAAATCCAAATTCATCAAAATATAAAGATTTTCATTGAATAGAACATTTTCTAAATTTGTCCAAAGTACTGTTACTGGGTACATATGAATACTGAAACTTATATTTGACATTGACTACAATTCAAAACAATCAAATAAATATTAATTAAAGATAAAGATTAATGGACCTTAGCAACAGTGTTACGGGCTTTATTCCAGTTGATTTGATCATAAGGGTCCTTGTACATTTCTTCTCTTAGTGATCTGATTAAACCTGTGATTGGGCCCACGAACCTCTTCCCATATAAATACGACATGGGCATGTATACCAAACGACAGTAGCACAACATTTTCCCTGCAAATTATATGGCGAAGGACTTAGAGAGAAGACACAAGCAAATGGTTATGACTTTGAGACAAACCTGGATGAATAGGGGAGAAATTGGGTAGAAGCCAAAACTCTGGTGGAAGTGGATTGCAGCCTGACCACTCATATACTCCAAGTACCTACAATAAATCATGTATATTACATATATGTCTTTATTTTGGTGTTATTATTATTTTTTAAGATATCAATGAGTGTCTAAAGTCCTAATAGACTCGACTAATCTGATTTTCGGGTGCCTCCCCACCATTCCCAGAAATTGTGGATTCAAATTTATTGCCCTTTGAGCATATCAAATTCTAAAATCTAGCTAGGTTGCTAGTAGACCAACAATTTTTGAGTTTGACATACTTTTCTGGATGCAGTAGACCTCAACAATTCCAAGTAACTCAAAATCCAACAGAAATGTGACAATGAATGTATTTACCGTGACCCAAAACTTTCCCCAAGATGGAATAGCCACTAAACCACCATGGTCGAGGATCCATTTTCTGCTTCTGGCCATTGCCCCATTCTCACCATCTTCAGGTCCTTCTCCAAGTATCCTCAAGGCGATATAGCTCAACGCTGATCCAAACATTGTGCTGTGACCCTCTATATGGAAACCCCATCCACCATCTTCGTTCTATTCCATCAGAAAATGACAATCAATGATTGATCAATACACTTATAATTTTTATAACTAAATTAAATGGATCCTAGTTATTGTGCTTTTTTACTAAGAAAAGTTGTGATCTTTTAGAATCATGTCAGCTTTACTGTCATCATCAAATAAGGTTAGTAACTTCAAAACTACCAATTAAGTATGTCAATATTATTGTGATAACCACTCAAGAATAAGATTCCTTTAAAACGAACTTGCCTCTAAAGATATATTCACCATTGATTTAATTCAAATTATAATATGATCTTAACTCACTAAGACTTAAGGGTAAACACATTATCATTTGTTCATTTTAGATGAGCTTTTTATAAATTCTTTATATGTATCAAAAGATACTTTTTTTCTCTATTCAATATTATTTATTAATAAAAAAAAATTCAATAACGTTAAAGCTCTTAATTGATAATTAAAAAAATTCAATAACGATAAAGCTCTTAATTGATAATTAAAAAATTTTGTACCTTGAGATTCGGTAATGTTAATGGGTGGCTAGTTAATGTCTCACCCTTTTTTTTTTTTGTAAATTGAGAAATAGAAAACAACAAACAAAAACAAAAAGAACCTAACTAAAGGTCAAACATGGGTATCCAACATCCACTGCATCATTAACTACGAACTCCTTAGAGCCCTGAGGAGGAAAAACAAAAGTGTGGACAAGCCAGTCCTGAGCTAGTTGATTTGTTGCAAGCCAATTCGCCACCTTGTTTCCTTCCCTAAAGGTGTTTGAAAGATCAACTTCCCAATGCTAGTTTAATAGCACTCGAGTTTTAGAGATCAAGGAGTGAATAAGGGTGTTGTTTCTCACTACTTGTTGAGAGGAGCTGCAGAGAAACAAAAGAGTCCCCTTCAAGGGTAACTTGTTTGAAGCCTCTTTCCCAAGCTAATATAAGGCCTTCAAAGGCACCCCATAACTCAGCTATAAGGGGGTTCCCATACCCAAGGTTATTATGGAATCCTAGAATCCAATTTTCCGAAGAGTTGTGTGGGACCCCTCCACATCTAATCTTGTTACTTGTAGAAGAGAACGACCCATCAAAATTGATCTTTATCTAGCCATAGGATGGAGGGTTTTAGGAGATCATGATTCAATTCTCTGGCCCAAGGGAATACCAGCCAAGTCGAGGGTGCTATTTGCTACTTTATTGGCATCCACATGGCTTCAAATACATCTCGCAACTCCACTTGAATCCATTATGTTGCCATTAAAGATGGCTTCATTTCTATTCTTCCAGATAAGCCAACAAGCCACTCCAAAAGTTGTACCTCAATCATCCAGGGGTCTTTGCTCCTTCTTCTATTTGATATTCTTAGCCAATAAATCTTCGAAATTCATAGTAAAAAAGTGAGGACGAGACTAAGCATCAATGAGGTTGCACCACATCTCCCTGACCCAATTACACATGTGAAAGACATGAGCTCTATCCTCCACTAGGTGGTGGCATCTCTCATAGGAGGATTGAGATGTTAGATGTCTCCTGGATTTTTGGTCATTAGTTAAGAGTTTGTTTTCAAAAAGAAGCCAAAGAAACATTCTGATTCTATTGGGTCCTTCCCACCTCCAAGGTAGAATGTTGGATGACAAGTTCGCTTAAGCAAGCTAGGGAGTAATGAACTCTTAGGCAGACTTAATCAAGAAGGTTCCATCAGATGAAGGCCACCAAATGACTTTGTCCTCACCATCATTTGGAGAAAGAGGGATTGTACCCGCAATTAAATTGATAACCCCCGTCGGAAGAAAGTTCTCAAAAAGTCTCCAATTCCAAGCACTATCAGCCAACACAAAGCCTTTGACTTTACAGTTCTTGTTAGTTTTAGGAATAGGAGATAGGGTCAAAGAAGCCAGATTATGTTCAATGGGGATCCATTGGTTAATCCATAATTTCGCTATGCTTCCATCACCAATTTGAATTCTAGATCCCTTGTTGATAAAGTCCCAGGCAACAATTACACATTTCCAAAGGTTAGATGTGCATCTGCTATTACTTAGTGTATGTATAAGATCTTTTCCAACTTTGTATATGTTTATGAGAACCCTTGCCCAAAATGCGTCTTGGTTCATGGACCAAATTCTCCTCAGGCCAAGCCCAAGCTCATTGGTTAGGGTAGCCATTGTCTTCCAGTTCACAAGATGGATTTTTCTTTTTGATGAGGAGGAGCCCGATATAAAATGCATAGTTGCTTTGTCAACCTTTTCACAGACTGTATCGAGTAGGTATGGAGAGCTTCTATAACAACTTTGGCCAGGGTGACTCTTCCTGCATGGAAAGAGAAATCCAGTTTCAAGAAGTCAAACGATTGTGGACTTTATCAATAATGAATTGAAAGGAGTTGTTATTCGTTCTTTTATGTTGAAGAGGAATACCCAAATATTTACCCCGAGTCACTAGTCATGTGGAATCCTAACTTCTCACCATCATTAGCTTTAGCATGATTAACATTCCTTGAGAAGAAAACTCCTATTTTTTTCCTGGCTAATTTTTTGGCCTGATGCCTGACATAAAATTTGCAGCATTTAGTTGAAGATATATGCTTGATCAATAGAAGCTTCTGTGAAAAGAAGAATGTCATTAACAAAGAATAAATGGGATACGAAAGGACCATTTCTTTTCAGTCTAATAGGTTTCCATGCTTTAACTTGAAATTTCATTTAAATCAAATGAGCCAAACGTTCTATGCACAAGATAAAGAGGTAGGGTGAGATGGGGTCACCTTGCCTGATTCCTCTAGTAGGATGGAAATGAAAGGTGGCATTTCCATTCCAAAGAAAGTTCATAGAACCTGTCGATATACATTTGCCAATCATGTCAGTCAGGCCTATAGGCATGCCTATATCCATTAAAGTATCATGAATGAACTTCCAATTTAGGCTGTCATAAGCCTTCTTTGGATAAATCTTTACGACCATCCAACCTTTCTTCTTTTTCTTTGTTTTTCTTCGAGTGGATGATTTCCTGAGCCACTACTATATTGTCAGTGCTATTTCTACCTTAGATAAAGTTTTGCTTGGTTCAGAGCTACCAGCTTATGCATATGGATCTTTAGATGACTGGTGATAAGCTATGTAATTATTTTATAGGAAACATTACAAAGGCTTATTTGTCTGAATTGCTTCATATTCTTCTGGTTTTCAACTTTAGGGATCAAACAAATCAAAGTTTTGTTCAGGTCCTCCACCTTGCTCAGAGAAAGGAAAATCTCCTTGACAAGACTATAAATGGATTTGCCAACAACACCTCATTGTGTTTGGAAGAATGTTGTATTTAAACCATATGAGCCAGGTGCCTTAAATTTTCCCGTGCTGAAAATAGTGGCCTTAATCTCTTCATTAACAAGGATAAAGAAAAGAGCAGTGTAGTCCTATGGCTGCAAACTTGGGAAGACACTAGAAATAAGAAAAGCAGGCCACTACTCCTCATCCTCAATGTATAGCTTCATGAAAATATCAATAGCTAGCTTGACCATATCATCAGTATCTCCTATCCAAACTCTTTCCTTGTTCTTGATAGCATCCACTATATTAACTCTTCGAGAAACTGTGGAGGAATGGAAGTGTCTAGTGTTTCTTTCCTCATATTTTAGCCATTTTGCACTTGGATATTACAAACCAGGTAAGTTCCTCTCGGATAAGGATCAATTCCAACTCTTTTCAGAGAGAATTTTGCAGCAGGCGGAGGCTAAAATCTTTACCGAGGGAAAGCTTATCATGAATTCCCTTTAGTCTAGCATAAAGACATATTTTCTATCTCATGGATTCTTTGAAAACAGATTGGTGCCAATCAGAAGCCTCTTCTTGGAACCTGTTGAGCGCTTCAAGCCAATGGTTATCACATTTCCAACATTTCTGTACAATTACCCCAAAGTTTTTAGCAGTAAGCCATGCTTCAAGGAACTTAAAAGGTTTAATAGTCAAAGGGAGGGTTCTAGGCTTCTCATTAATCTACGGAATAAGCCTATGATCTAAATTGTAGAAGGGCAAGTCAGTCAGGCGGTGACCTAGCCAAGAAATATTTGAAGGCCCATTTGCGCTAGCCCTATCAAGCCTTTGCTGTAGGTTTCCCCTATGCCAAGTAAACTTCGGACCCTTGAAGCCCATATCTTCAAGATCACATTCAGATAGAGAGTTTTGCCTATCTTCCATGTTCCTTCCATTAACTTCCACACCCCCTCCTTTTCATCAGTATAAAGAATGGAGTTGAAATCACCAATCATCGCCCAAGGATCCAACGAGTCTTGAAGGAGGTTAGGAAGCTTATTCCATAAGATCCTCCTTGCATTGCTCCTGGTACTAGCATAAACAAAAGTCACTAACTCTGACTTGTTACATTTACGATAATTAATTCTTGTATGGATAAACTGGTGATGGGAATGGAGAAATTGTATATCCACTTCATTGTCATCCCAGAGTATCCAGATTCCACCCGAGAAGCCAACGACTTCTTGTCTATAATAGTTAGAAAAACCTAGTTTCTTACGAACTTTGTCAACTTTTTGACCATTTATTCTTGTTTCAAGAAGCATTAGCCTCTTTTTGTCCCGTCTAGCTTCGTTGGCTACTAGAAGTAGGCTAGTTATTATGGCCCCAGTTGGGCTTAAGGACTGCCAACTCAGCCTTATTAAGCTCACTACTTTTCCTCTTATAGAGGGAGATTTTTTGAAGTAGGTTTCGATGCAGAAGGATTGGACACTTTGCTTAAAGGTTTACCTCCGTTGTTGCCTTTTACTTGTTGGGTGTTCAACCCCTGCCGCTTTCGTGCAACATCTCTTTGAGGGGCCAAATAAGTGACTGATAACTTCTATCCTTTTGTATGCAACCCACCACTAGCAGACTATGGTTTCTCAGTTTTTTCAGGAACATTTTTCTTCGTTGTTTCCTTTTGTTCCTCGTTTTCTTCCACCTTGTTTGCCGAAATGAACTTCTGTCGACGACCTCATGTTTGCTATTGTACAACCATCCAAGCACC